GGATATCTCGCCGACGCGAAAGGAATACGGATCGCCGTCCTTGTAAACCTTTCGAGCGCTTTCCTTGCCAGCGCATTCGCCTTGATAAGTCGTTAGTACAACTAATCCTTCTAACAGAACCGAAAAGCTGAACAAATTCAGTGGCATTCTCTCATCAGTGGTCGCTATCTGCAGTTGTCGTGGCTTCATTATTGAAGATAATAGGAGGTGGATCTCACGCAACTTTCCTTATACTTGTGCCTCTGCAAAGCCTGGATTCTAAGAACACGCAGTGAGTCTTATCCTAGAGCATAGACTTGAAGTGCTTGTCTACTCATAACTTGATTAGAGCCACATATTTTTACCTTACTGCTGCGCTGAGTGCCATAGGCCAGTCGATTGGCTCCTTCATTACACCACACTTAGCTACGAAGAATAAAACCTTGCCCTATGCATTCTCTATATTAAGCTGCCTATTATCTTGTCCTATATTGATTACATGCCAATCATCATCCACTCCCTCGCAGCCACAATATATTAGAGGCAATTTTACCGAGTCGGATCCTCTCCTGAGACAGAGAGAGGCAACCCCCTCCAATGATCGGGCAACAACATCAAAGCTCGTCAAAATCAAAGCATTCTTCTATGAGCAGGCAAGAGACACTCTCTTGTATTCTGAAAAGAATAGAAAATCTATTGTCTTGGTTTTTTTTCTTGCCGGTATTGCGAAGGCTACAAGGCCGCTTTTCATAAGCTACATTCAACATAGGGACGGTGTCTCTCCAGCGCAGGTATGATCTCCTATTTGTCCATCAATTTTTTCCTATGATACACACTGAAATCTTTTCACAGGCTCAACAACTTTGGCTTCTAAGGACCGTTCTTAGTGTCTTAATCTTTGCGCTTATACTGCCTTTGCTCATCTATCTACTCCAGTACAGAGCATCAATCACACCAGCCCAGACCGCACTACACATAGCAAAGATCAGCATTATTTTTATGGAAACTGGGGCTCTGATAATCGGCCTTGCTGACTCGCTCTCAGCATTGATCCCGGGTTCCTCTTGTCTCACTCAAAAAGCAGCTTGTCATTACTTTCAGATCAAACTAATGGGAACCATGCAGCGCTTATTATAAATACGCTGGGGGTGGGCACCGATTTAGCTTTACTTATATTACTAGCAAATTCGGTTAAGAGCGAAGTTGCTGGTCGCGTTATCATGCTGACTGCATCATTGGAGAGTGCTGGTTCTCTGGTGGGTATAAGAATTCTTTACCCAATATATCAATGGAGTATGAGCCAGTCGTCCTTTGCCGGAGGAGTCGCCTACTACATATGTGCAGTGAGTTCTAGTTTTCTCTCAAATATGGACATGGCATCTGACAGCACTCATAAATTTGTAGGTTATATATGCTGTCGTTGCGTCTCTCATTTGGAGAATGAGATTTACTCCTGACACGAATTGATTATGATTATAATATCCGAGGCTCTTATGGAAATGAACCGACGGTTGTCTACAGAACCATGGGGTCGCATCAATCTATTGTTTCTTTTGTCCTTGAGGTGTGCAAGGATTTAGAGATGTTAGGTCTAGAGGGCTGTACCAGTTATATCTTGCGTATCTTTTAAAGGAGTATCTAGGTATATTCTTGGGATTAGAATGTGCTTTTAGCTCTCGCTAATAGCTGAATACTTTTATCTTGCAAGAAGAGAGCATTGCGGTGTTCCTGTGAGCAACACAACGGAATCTTTCATGGCATCTTAGCAGTACAGTGGACGTTGCCAGCTTCAGTCTATATTTATAATGTGCCTAAAACTCTAGTATGATATCCTCTTGCCAGCGACAAAGGCCATTCTATATAAAATATCGAAGGTGCTACTTAATATGCAATGCAAAGATGTGTTTGCCTGGAAGAATCTAGGATCAGACAATACAGGAACAGACAAGGATTAAATTGAAAGTATCCAATACCACGCCTAGCTACAAGGCTGGCATAGAATAGTGGCTGTTGTCAATGGAAAGCATAACGTGTCTTTTGCCTTACCTCATCACTCCTGAGAATAATAACATGCTAGCACATGTTATTATTGGAAAGGAAAGTACTTGTATGTATAGCTATCAATCTGAAAGTATGGTCAAGATGAAGAAGTGCCCTGAAAAAATCAAAAATTGTCCGTCTCACGTCTCGATATTCTGCTATACTTTGTGTCCAATTCGTGATTATGACGTCCAGCTAATCAAACCTGCATTTCCTAAGTGATTGATCTTCTTCTAAAAGAATATTAGGTAGAGTGCATGTAGGAAATGTGCTCTCGAAAGCACTGAGAAATCGAAAAATAACACTGTCATGATTCGGGAGGGTCGTCGCAGACAAACCAAACGGTCTCCCATTGAATGTAAGGTACCCTAGGGGACATCGTCGCTACCGGGGGACCTTCGTAGTACAAATCAGCAATGAAGTTTACTACTACTTAGCTTTAAGAGTTGTAGCTAACTAGCGGCGGCGGCAATACTTGCGACGGGTTCATCACTCGGTCCAAGAATAGCGTCTAATTTATTGTCCTCCATAGCTTTCAAAAGTCCGTCTCTGTAGGCAGCATTCAATAGAAACGACTTGGCTTCGTCACGCTCAGATTGTGTAGTAGTGCAATTCACGGCATCCAGCAGTGCATTAGACAAGCTCTGACGAGGTCAACGCTAGTTAGTTCTCCATTTTGAAGTGAATACTGCAGATCCGAGGCCGACAATTTGAGAAGATCCAGCTGTTGCTTAATGGTTCAATGGTTGTGGGAATCGATCGAAAATCCTATGTCAGAGCTACACGATACGTGGGAAGAAAATAAAGGAGTAGAGCACGGAGCAGTAATATTGCCACAGCTTGGGAGGCGGAAGATCCATTAACTCATTAACTATGTTCAGCTGAACGCTCGGAGTGTCTGATAACATTTTATTTTGCATAATTTGTCTTGCGCTGACAGGGCTGCAGCAGCGGGGAAGGGTCTGCGACTTAATGGCTACCCGCTTCACCCCACAGCAGCGGACCGCGCCGCAAGAGAGAGCGCCGCATAGATGCACCAATCAGAATCAGGTTTGTAATCGACCAGATAAAATATATATCAGGGGAAGCAAATGTCAATATTGGCTGGACTAACCGCATCAAAGTCTTTCATACACCGAAATTTTCCCATAAAGAATGATTAATTTCATCACTAATGCTCTATAAGCTCCTTAGCTTGGCAATGCTTAATAATAAAACTTAACCTAACTACCTAGAATTATTAATATTTACGAGAGATTTTAATAACGTCATTTTACAACTAGGATATAGGGACCTGTAAATTTTGAGGCCAAAACAACTCTATCGGGGCCAGAAATTGCGGGCTTTCCACTCCGTAACTTGTGCTGCGAGCTGCCGCTCGACGATTTTCAACATGACTTTCTCTTTTGAAGATAATACAGGGCGGTAAAGAGGCAGAGATACACTCAGTTGGAGCAATCGACTCGCAGTTTCCAAGCTGAAAGAAACAAAGAATCCACAGCCTTTATTTGAATAATCATTGTTTTGCCGCTCCTACTAAATTTACTGCGACTGCACCATCCAATGAGAGCGCGCAAACAGTAGGAAACCAACGCAGCTACGTGGACCTGTCACACCCCCCAGAGACGAGTACTCCTTATAGCCCGCTATAGTCACTGTGTTCTTGGACTGGAGAGTACTGCAATCTCCTCATTGATTCACCACACTGAGCAAGATCACATAAAATCCCGAACGTATTCGTCCTCCATTTCGGCTACGGGCAGCTAAAAAATCATATGCCGAGGCCATATCGGTACTCTGGAGCCCACCGTGCACGGCTTGCGGCAGAAACCTTCACGCCTCACTATTAGTCCGATCATCGCCCTTCACGCACTTCAATTGCCATGGGGTATCCATGGAGAACCTTCAAAAGGGATAAAACACGCGACTAAAAGGCTCCGGCCAAGCTCTTTCCAAGGAGAGAGATGTTGCTTCGGCAGCATACATTCCCTTCTCCAAAGCGACGATGATGTTTCAGTCAATGATCCTCAAACTGACAATAAGGTCACTGGACCTGCTACTACTTCATCAAGCTTTGGGATGCCAGAAGTGATGACTATCGATTGACGCTCGAAAAAGATGCCAATTCAAAAAGTTCGGATTTTAGGCTGACGGCATGAGATACTTGAAGTTCATTCAACTGGGGCTGAGTTCAAACGGCCGTTGATCACATAAAACGGTCGAAACCTACTTTGGCTGCCACAGGAATATCGACCAACTCGCTGAGATTCCCATACGAATATGATCGTCCTTGGCCAGTGATCTGGGGAGATTTTATTCTTTCAATTCTCCGATGAGAATTTGTTTCTTGATCAGGATTCCTGAGAACTCCAGCTGGCCATAGAGTCCTTGGAAAGGTTGAATGTAATTTTGCTTATGGCTCACACAACTATAGTATGCTTTCACAGTAACTAGACTAGTCACATCAGGGGTTGATGATGATGGCAACTAAGAGGTCAAGGTGTGTAGAAGCAAGTATCTAGCTGCAACGCTAAGGAGTGCGTCCCTCGCCTATCTAATTCGGAAGTAGTTTCTGGAATGCTTCTTCCTACCCGAAGATGCAAAGAATGCAAACAGAAGCCGATGGGAGGGCGAGTGGCGAAATCTATCTTCTATCCCGGGTTTGTCAGTTTAACAAGGAGAGAATGGGTGTGAAGATATATATGGATTCGGAGTCTCTGCGGCGAGAGAATGCTGTCCCATAGTCAAGCTTGATTGAATGTAGAAAATTAGATAGAATTGAAAAATGAACAGAGTTTGATGTCACAAAAAGAGTAAGGTATGCACACGTAATCACATAATGCACAGGAACAATTGCACTGTCGGTGTAAAGATATCATTATTAACTCGCATGAAATTGGATATCTTTCCCCGTATCAGAACCTCACGTTTGGGTGAACCCTAGTGTGCCATATCCACCACGGAGAGATACGAAGCAGACCCTATTGGACTTTGTATCGGAGTCGTTGTCCAAATGCCCTGAACAAAAACGGTATGGGAACCAGTATAGTAGCCAAACAAGCGAGCAGAGTGCTTGCCCATTGCACTTTCATGTTCTCGAACATTTGTCGGGTGAAGAGTGGAAAGCTCGATGCAAAAGCCGAGCGAAGCATAATATTGGCTGCTACGGCAGAGGCGGCGCTGTACATTGTAAGAGAGGACTGGCTTTGAAGCATGGAGACCAAGGGATGGTTTGCTTACACTGGTAAATAGGCATCCACAAGATAATTGAAACACGGGAGAAAAATGCAGAGTACGCCAAAGCCAATAAAGACTCCGGCGGCCGCCGGCGCAGCCCAGTGGATTTGGGAAGTAAAGCCAGTCCAGCCGAACCTAGACTGTCGTTAGATCAACTACTTCCGTAACACTGACGCGAACCTTAACACACCAGAAAAGTCCAACAGCGAATACCGGGGCTCCTATCGTGGTGGGACCCAGGCGCCATTCAGGGACAGGGACGTTTGCATTATTTGCCAGCTTCTTGGCGTACTGCCCATGTTGCAGAAGAATAAAGCCAACGGCCAAGACAACGCCGATAATAAGCCCGATAAACATCAAATAAGCAACACCCGGGGGCATGCCGTATATGGCCTCGAAAACGTAGGGGTAGGACTCTAACAAGGCATAGACCAAGCCATAGATGAATGACATATAGAGCGATATTAGAAGGAGCACGGGCTCTGTAGCAAGTAGTCTCAGGGGCCGCATTACATACTTTTCGGCCAGGTCGGCAATGTCAAACTCAACCTCTTCTTGCTTGGCATGAATGCCCCAGTTTCCTGATTGTTTCCGAATGAAAGCAGCTTTTTCCATAAGGACACAGGCGGGGTATGACTCCTTCAAGAAGAGGAGAGAAAGTACGCCGCTTGCGAAGGCGAGAAAAGCCGGGATATAGAGCGTCCATCTCCAACCAAGGAAACTGGATGCCGTATAGCCACCGGCGATAGGCGCAACGAACGGCCCCCCAAACACTGTCAAAGCATACAGCGCAATAGCGACACCGCGATATGTATTGTCATAAAGGTCGGCGAGGACGCCGGGAACCACAGTCAGTTGACTGGCGCCACACACTCCAGCAAAGAATCGACAAATAATAAGAGTCTGAACGTCTTTCGCAACCGCACATGCAACGGTGAATATCCCTTCCCCAAGGATGGCAATCACCAAGGGCCATTTTCTGCCCACGACTTCAGACATCGGCGCCCAAATCATTGGTCCCGTTGCAAAGCCCAAAACGAACAGAGTCGTACCAAGAGTAATCACTTCTGTCGCCACGCCAAAGTCACTGCTCGCCTTGTCAACCCCGGGCGAGAACATCGCACTGTTCAATGCGGCGATGAATGTACCAGAGCAAGCCAATACAGAGGATACAAGCCTACATGGTGCCTCAGACTGTTAGCGGGGGCACAAATCCAACCCCGAAATATCAGGGCCATAATTGTACGCGTAGCTGGAGACCACAAAAGCAAAATACACACTTTGTCGTCAATGGCCAATTCTGGGGATTTAGAGGATCGTTGGCTCCATCAAAGTCGACGAGGTAATGCTGTCGGTCTGGAAGAGCTGGGGGGAACGGTCTTCCTGCACCGATTGACCATTTTCCATTTGCCTCAGGATCGTATTCGCGTATAATCTCGGCGGATGACGGCATCATAGCTGTCTTCGTAGCTCGTCGTCTCGAACATAGCCATTGCCATTCGCCCCTTGGAGAGCTTTATAGGGAAGGGCACGCATCATGGGTGTTGCGGGATTTGCGGCCGGAGCCCTTTCTACATTGCAACATCACCCTAATAATACCTGCTCAAATTGCATCAAGGAACAATTGTATTGACTAATATATATGGGTCCAAGAAGCGGCTGACTCGTATAAAGTTGTGTGCTTTAGAAAGCTGATAGCATCGAGCCAATCAACATAAGTTTTGAAGGGTTGAAGTCCAAAGTTGCCGACGCATCGTCATAATAATTATTCTGCCTCCAAGTACCGCCTCCGGACATGCATTTTGATCGTAATTGCTTGTTCCGATTGCTTCATATCTCCAACTTCACTGTATGAAATTCTTTCTGATCAATTCTGCCGGGATCTTTTGCGCATACTATATATATACCACTTGGAAACAGGACACCAGCCTTTGCCTCCAGTTCCGAAATCCAGAGAGAGTGTGTGTCGGAGAGAAAGGGAAAATCCAAAGAAGAATGGCACCCCCACGTCAACGTCCAGCGACAACAGTGGCGGGAAATACAATTGACGACTCTCGCTCGGAAGCGTCTAGCAGCACACTAACTGGGCATCAATCCCGAGGTGTCCCTGGCCCAAAACCTAGAAAGGTCGGCGTTGCTGGTGCTACAGGAAGTTCTGCTACTTCGAAGGAACTCAAAGTCGCTGCGGCTACGGGTGCAGCAGCCGGAATTGGAGGAGGAGTAGTCGAATATGGAGATGTGATGAGGGATGAATTGCCTGGTGTATGTTTCTTTTTCTTTTCCCTTTTTTTTTTCTCTATAAAAGAAAATAATATTAACTTGGGAAACTAGATTCCCTGGCCCCAAATGCCACTCTCCATCCTCCACGACTACAGACACGCATACAAGCTATCAACCCCAAGCGCATACGCACGCCCCATTTCAAAAATCATGTTTGCAGCTGGTATTGGTTACCGGTCGCCAACTGCAATTGCCGCTCGTAAAGCCACATCCTCTACATCTTCGTCTTCGTCCTCGTCCTCGTCAAAAGTCCTGCACAAAATCAACAGCCAAGACCGCGTCGGAAAAGAGCAGCTTGCGCTTGCGGTTAGGAAACATTTCAATGCCGCTGGACTCGTGGAGCAGGACGCTATTGCTAGGTTTTTGTACAAGGTGCGCGAGGAGGGCAAAGGGAGGGAGTTTCGGTTGAGGTTTCAGCCTTGATGGGTCTGTTAGCATTGGTTGCTGTGTTGTAATTCTACTTGTGATGGATGTTTCTGATTGATTTGATACCCGACATCTCTCTATGGCGTTTGTCTTTTGATTTATTTGTTTCTGTTTCTGGTTTTTGTTATGTATGTATAGTTATTTATCTCTCGTATCTTCGACTATTTAGCCAATGAGCGACATTGTTAGTCGTTTCCTTCGTCCTTAGCTTCCAGTATCAACTGCATTATCCCACTGGAAATCGTCTTCGTTGCCATCTACGAATTCGCTGTCATCATCTTCAACATTGTCATCTTCGCTGTCCGCGACTTCATCAACCTTGCGTTTTCGCACGCTCAGTATAGGCGTAGACCGTGGTATGGATTGTTGCTCTTGCTGGGTACTGCGCAGCTCTCGCAATCCGCCCTGTCATGTATTAGTAATCTATAACAAGCAGAAAAATAGGAAAGAAAGAAAAAAAAAAAAAACAAACATCTTCAATCACAAATGCAAAAATATTATCATCCGTCCTGACAGAGACAATCTTCCCACCTCGTTTCATAATTTCTGCATATCTTACTACTTTGCTCGATTCGGAACTGCCAGACCACCAATCTCGATACAATACAATCCTTGTCTGCACGCAATTCTCCCACGACTGGCCGCCGCCCACAGCCGGGTAGAGCGTCGGACGCGGCTGGCCCTTGATTTTGGTATGTGTCTGGTTTAGGAGGATGATGGCCATTTTTGGCCGGTTTGTAGTAGCGCCAGTGGTAGTGGTAGTGGCTAGTTTGACTAATTTGTTGGCCATGTCGCTTATTACATTCCATTTGCGGTTTAGGAGCCATTGCGTGGCTTGTTTTTGTTGGTTCTCGGTTCCTTGTGCATGTCCCTGCCCCTGTGTTTGTAGGCGGGACCGGAGTTCGGTGGAGTTGGGGAAGTAGGATTGGAATGGCGCAGAGATGGAGTCGACGATGAGCAGACTTGTGCCCTCTGCAGGGAAGTTGGGTGGTGGATGTGCGAATAGAGAGAGGAGATGGGGTAGTGTGGGTGCGCGTATGTGATGGAACCGATTCATGCACTCGCTTAGTCTTTTGTCAATGGAGTAGTCGTTCGATTGTAGCATGAGTTTGCTCGTTAAGAGCTCTTTGAGTCGGAGTGTGGGGATTGGCGAGCCGGTGTCTAATAATGAAATAGCATCCAGTCAGCCACTATAGTACGTGCAGGCGAGACGGGTACACAGACCAATCCATACTACCTTCTCGTCCTCTCCTGCCACTAGAGTCGTCGCTGCTATATTGAGCCTGAGATTGTATGTCAGCATGACTCTTATTGAAACTTGGTGCCGGGACAGAGACGTACGAAACGGCAGTCTTGCCTACCCCCGGCGGACCATATATTTCAGTGATGCTCCCTCTGGGAATCCCGCCTGCTGATGGCCCGTGGCCAGAACGAGCAGGACTGGCCGCATAGTCCGTGGCAGCAGCTGTGGCGGTGCGCAATGCATCATCCAGTCGATCTAGGCCGGTTGGGAGTGGTGCAGGCACAGCGGGGAAAGGGTATGGAGTCGACAACAGCGACGACGATGCTCGAAGCGCCTGTGAGGCGGAGATGGAGGAGACTCGCGCTGCGGATTGTCAGCAGACGGACTTTCTTTATCAATTGCTTGTTAATATGCATACATACGTATTCCGGGCTCGGTCAGGAAGTCATAGTCGGTCATTTTTCAGGCCTTGTCGAGTTTTCCAGTGCGCGGCCTGCTGCATGTTGACCTGTTATTTTGAGATATCCAGAGCTTCTCTCCTTTGTTTCATATCATCCCAGCTAGCATTAACCACTCCTTTTGTATAAGTAATCATTATAATGCGACTGAATCAACACTGAACACGTTAAGTGGAAGCGCGCTTGGCCGAAACAAGTTAGCGCGTTGCGAGAGGGTTCCGAAGCGCCCGCCTCAGGCAGCAGGATTGCTGGCGTCGGACTTATTGATTGGACACTGACTTTACAATTCACCAAGCGTTGATCGAGTACTACTAGTTAACTACGACGCTAGCTCTTGCATTCATTGCCTCTAATGTAGCAGCCTATTTTTGTTGCAGAGGACTGGCTACTTAGGTATATATAATGGAACTCAACGCCCAGTTCGTCTACCTGGTAGAGATACCTAGGTACAGAGCTGCGTCGTATCAACATCAAAATGGCTGAACTGGCCATCCGACCCTACGACAATACAAGTGACTTAGCTGCAGTATCAGCCCTCTGGCAGCAGGCTGTCCCAAAATACCCTATTTCCCCACAGCATCTGGAAGAGCTTCTGGTCCTGCGCTGGGGGTCGCACTTTGTGGCCCTCATTCCAAACACCGACGACTCGCCCGCCTCACCTCGTATTATCGGGTTTGTTGCCACTTACACAGATGTCCCAGGGGTGTCAGGATTAGGATCAGGGTCACCTGCATACCTGCCGGTTATTATAATCCATCCCGGTTTCCAGGGGAAAGGCCACGGGACAAAGCTGCTGCAGCACGCGAAGGATCATTTGGGAAAATCGTTTGAGACGATCAAAGTGACCTCGTCTATTCCTAGATTTTGGTCGGGGGTTCCAACAGATCTGAGTCTTAAGGACCAGGAATTTTTCGCCAAGAGAGGTAAGTTATGTGGTACATGGGATTGATTACTAGTACCTAGATATGGGCAGCACTAACCTCCTGCAGGCTTTAAGGAGACTTCCAGAGTGAAGGATTTCTATCAGCCGCTGGCTACATTCAAATCACCACAGCATATACTGGACCGCGCCGCATCTAATGGCATTACATTTGCGCCTCTGACAGCGTCGGGCGCGGAGGAATGCCTTGCCGCGCAGGAATTGAATTTCCCTCGGTGGGCACCGGGGTATCAAGCCCTGCATCGCGGGAACCATCATGAGGAGATTATGGTCGCATTTGACCGCGACGGCAGACAGGTTGGGTGGACTTTTATCCTGTCGCCGGGCAAGACGAGGTTGTGGGATGGGTTTGCATTCGTGCCGGTTGTTGGAGGCGAAGACGGGGTTAGTGGGAACGGCAGAACGGCGATGATTTCTGCGGTGGGCGTCAGCAAGGATGTCAGAGGGATGGGGGCTGGGTTGGGGATGGTATGTGCTGCGATGGAAGAGTTTAAGAAGAGAGGCGGCATCGATGGCGTCTTTGTGGACCAGGTGGTGCTGGACAATTTCTATGAGAAGGTTGGGTTTGCGACTTGGAGGGAATACAGAGAATTTGCCATTGCCACTGGGCATGAAAAATAAATGAAGCTATATATTCTTCTTCTCAAATGCAGAACACTATATGTCGTGATCTTTCTGTTCCGTACCTCCACAGACAAGCTCGCCTATATGATAGCCGACTCCCGAGGAGATATAGTCAGACTCCACGGAGGAATCCAATCATATGCCAATCAGACAACGCTAATTAGCAACTGGCAATAAGCACTATTTCCTTGCCTGTTCTAAGTTGCAACATGCTCTACCTTCTTAAGTCTCTGCTGTCAGATCCATTACAAACACCCGTTTGAAGGGAGACGCAGCCCAAGATGTTGTCAAACAAAACCATGAGCCTGGTACCGGGCCTGGTCAAGCAAGGACGTAAGTTGGATGCAGACGGTTATTGCATATGATTACTGGTGAGCGCATGGGCTGACGAGTATGTATAGCCTTCATGCGTGCGTTCCTGGCGGCTTCGGCAATTGCCCGCCGCCAGGTTGGCGCATCCCGAGGACTGACGACTTCTTCGCGTCGATATGCGAGGTATGTGCTTGAATTCCGCATGCATTTCTTTACTGGCGAATCTAACCAGCCTGCAACACAACAGCAAGCAAACCCTCTCCGTCCTCGAACAACAACGCCTCCGCCGCCCCGTCGCGCCGCATCTCACAATCTACAAATGGCGCTACCAATCCCTGACCTCCATCCTGCAGCGCTTCTCGGGCATATTTCTCTCGGGCGGTTTGTATCTATTCGCCGCGGGATACCTGCTCGCGCCCTTACTTGTTCCGCAGACGGCCATCGCGCATCTGTTTGACATAAATACCATTGCGGCGTTCGTGGGCGCGTGGCCCGTGTGGGCAAAAGTGTCGGCAAAGTTTACGCTCGTTTGGCCGTTTACGTTCCACGCTTTCAACGGTGTGAAGCAGCTGGTTTTTGATGCTGGGCGTGGGCTGACAAGTAGGCCTGGCATTGTGAAGGCGTCGAGGGCTGTGGCGGCGGTGAGTTTTGTGAGTGCTTTGGCGTTGGCGTTCATCTAATGTAGGGCTAGGTAGATAGATCATAGATACCTCTCTGCATTATTAGTGAGCGTGGTAGAAAAATTGTGCATAAATATTGATCAATATATATATTATTCTTGTCCCCGCGGTATATACACAATTATCGAGCAGTAAAAAAACCTTTTGTCTAACCAGAGCACCCAGGCATTATCACGCTGTCTTCAATGACTTCCCTTCTCCATTATCAGCCTCAGTCTCAGGCATAGGGATGGTCACGGCGGCAGTCTGAGTCGTGTTCTTGTTCTCTTCAGCACCTTCGCTTTCCAACAGCTGCGTGTCCTCATCCTCATCCTCGTCATCCTCAGGCAACAGCAGGTTCAAAATGAGCGCGATAAAACCCGTAACGACAAAGCCAGTCGTCATGACCAGCTCAATCGCATCAATGAGCCCCGTCAACCCCTTGTTGTTGCCGGAGTACGTGAACACGTACGAGAACCAGTCCGGCACAAGCGTGGCGCCCATACCAACGGCGAACGAGGCGGTTAAAATAAACCGATTGCGGCGCGTAAAGGGCACGAGCGAAATGATACGAACACCGGAGATGGCCACGGACGAAAATAGGAACGTAGTCATACCGCCGAGCACGGGGGACGGAATGGCGACCAGCGCGGCGGCAAATTTGGAGAAGACGCCCATGATAATGAGGAAGAAGCAGCAGAAATAACCGGCTTTACGATTGGCGCAGCGCGTCAGCGCGATAACGCCGTTGTTTTGCGCAAATGTCGACATGGGCGTGATGGTGCACAGGCCCGCGAGCAGACCGCTGAAGCCGTCGGCGAGCACACCACCGCGGATGCGAGTGTCGAAGGTCTCGCCCTCGACTTCGATGCGCGATACGTCGCAGGTTGCGGTGATGTCGCCGATGGCTTCCATCATGAGCACCATGTAGAGTGCGAGGAAGGGGAGGATGAGAGGCGCGTAGATCTTGAGAGGGAATGTCTCGACCCAGATGAAAGATGCGACGGGCGCTTCGTTGATGGAAGAAGGGTCGAAATAGCCACATGCCGCCGCCACGATGCATCCGACCAGCAGACCGACGACAACGGCGCAGGACTTCATGATGGGCGCTCCGAACCGTTCGCAGAGGATAATGGTCAGGAACACGAGGAATCCGAGACCGATGAACTGCGCGCTGCCCCAGGGTAGGGCGTGCGGAGCAGCGGCGTCAGGACACAGAGCTCGAGACGCAGCATTGGTCAAGCAGGAGCCTGAACCGCCAGCCCAGTCCTCGAATCCGCTTTCGATCAAGCTGACTCCGATGAGGAGGACAGTAGGACCGGTGACTAGCGGTGGGAAGATGCGCTTGAGCAGCTTGATTGGCATGAATGATAGGCCGATTTCGAGGAGTGCGCAGAGACATGCTGTGCCCAGGATTGCGCCGTAGCCATGTGGACAGGCGAGTTGGTTTCCGTCGGCGTCTGTGGGACAGTAGCCCGATGAATACATCTGCGACAGCGCGTTTTGTGCAACGGTCAGGGTGGAAAAGGACGTGCCGGTGACGGAGATCAGTCCCGTACCGATGTAGTAGGGGGTTTTCCAGATGCCGAATCGGGTAATCTGGATCACGGACAGAATTCCCGAGACGATCAGGGATGTCGAGACGAGATATTGCGTTGTTTTGGTGTCGAAATTAGCTGAGCCAGCGATAATGAGGGGGGGAGTGATTACTGTCGATGTTGTGAGTTTCCCTTCATTGTTCTCCCATTTGTATACATGTCTGTTCTGGATCAACATACCTCCCGCAAGCATGGCCAGCGCATGCTGTAGACCGAGCAGGAAAGCTAGCAGGATCGGAATCTTATCATAAAGGCCGAAGAAGGGCGCTCGGCGACGAGACTTTTTCATAAAAGGCAGGTTTGGCCTGAACAGATGGGCATAGTCGTAGTCGCCGACGAGGCCATCTCTGCGCGGCATTAGCTACTCTTCTCTCCTGTCCAAGAAAAGACGAAAATGCATTTCTTACTTTGTTGTCAACGCGCGAACAATGCGCCGTAGTCTGTCGGACAGGGTCCGTTTGGGACCTATACTTGGTCCAATCTGATCGGGGCCGTCCATGCTTAGTATCCGGTGAAGCTATTCCGATGTGCTGGACAAGGTGAATCGCCGGAGCAGGGGACGATGGGTATTTAAATAGTAGTGTATTAACATCAATAAGTGATATAGTATAGTTATAAGTCGCTGGAAGGATTCCGTCACTTATCGGATTACTCGATGGCAAGCAGTAACCAGCAGAGATAAAACAGGGTCCACTGCTTGATAGGCGCGCTCGCATTGGATGCTATAAAGCCTTAGCACGGTCACTAAGCAGATAAGCAGAAGCTCTGTGGCCGGCTCCGATAGCGCTATATGCCCGCTCACACTGCACAGTACGGAGCACCGAGTCCATAGAGCAACTAATAAATAATATGGTGCTTATGCTGGGCATCTGAACCTTCCGGCCCACGGCGAGATTCTGGAAGAAACATCCCCGCCGCAGTCCGTCTGTTTAACTAGCTCGAGCCTTGCTTACTAACTATGGGTAGCGTTTTAAGTAGCGGCACACAGATCCTCGCAGTCGGAACGGACCGATCCTGTATTGAATTTGCCTGCTTTCTCGAGTACTGCCTTGATCAATGGACATCGCCACTGCTGTATCTATTATAATTGGACTATTTATCTGATCTGTATACGGTAGAGAATGCTTTCGCCACCGTTAACCTAGCCCTAACCCTAGAGATGATGTGCCCGGCACGTGACTACGGGCTTACCGCTTTAGGACTAGCCGCTGATTGTCGATAAGCAATGAATGGCATGCATCGAGATGGACCGCGATGTTTCTGCTTGACACGAGACTGGCTGTCTGATTAGCCACCATTGTTACTTATGGAAGACCATGTGGCCCGTCGCACCGACCAGCAGGCACACACTGGCCCGCGCAAGTATATGAGCAAAGGCCGTCGGGCCTGCGACCTTTGCCGCTCGCGCAAGTCTGCTTGTCAGATCGAAGTCGCGCCGCCATGTCGTATGTGCAGGGCCCACGGCCAGCAATGCGAGTTTACGAACCGGGTGGTGCGCAAGAAACGGCCGGCTCCTCATTCAGTGGCTGAGGAGGGTGGTAATGCGCCGGTATGGCATCCAGAAGTACGACCCGCGCAATCCGATACGGAGCAGCTGTCGTGGCCGCAGGGTTTGAATTTTCTGTCTATGCCTGAAAATAACTTGGCTTCTGCGTCGCCTAGCAATATGCAAGGCCATGTCTTTGGCGGCCCGGGCTTGAGCCACACTTCAAACGAGCAGCTCACACCCGGTTTTCTGTCTGGTCCAGAAAACGCGGACCAGTTCATGATAGATGACTTCATGCTAAGCATATATGAAGGGAGAACACTGCCCGACGTCTATCAAGGAACAGGAAGTGGCCTCAACTCGCTGGATTATTCGCCGCTCACGTCTCAAGTGTGTGGTCTAACTGGCGATCAAGACCCCTACGTCCTGCGCCATTATCAATATGACGAGAAGTCTGAATTCGTGTTCTCGAAACTCGCTATTCGCAAGGTTCAGGATGGGCCGGTCCCAGTTCAATTTTTGCTGTCAAAGCCAGAACTGAGTGCGGACTCGCGGTCTCAGACTGTCCTTCGCCATGGGCCCCAGACGAACGAGACGCCCTCGTTGTCGGAAATTGTGCCGCCGGAAGTTGCGGAACGGTTGATTGAACTGTACGTTCTACATTGTAAATCTATTTCGGATCGTTGCAAATCAACTAATCATTTCGGAAGGTTCTTTCGCTTTGTGAATCCGCAATTTCCAGTTCTATCCGAAGCAAATAGGCCATGTCCCCGGACATCACCGACTCACCTCCTCGCAGCAATATATTCTATCACACAGCCTTTCACTGTGTTCGATGACAAGCTGTCGATTGAGCTTGCATATAATCATCCATCACCACAGTCCCTCTCTAACATTGCTTGGCGCTCTCTTAACGACGAAATACCCGAACCCACGATACACTCTCTTCAAGCCGCACTAATCATGTTATTGCAGCCACCTAGTAATCCGTTATTGCTCGAAAGTCCCTTAAAATGGGCACTTCTTGGGCTTACTGTGTCGATGGCACAGACCCTTGGTCTTTATCTGGATCCAACTGCCTGGAATCTGCCTCCGGAAGAAGTCGAAAGCCGGAAAAGACTTGCTTGGCTAGTCTGGGCGGCTGACAAGTGGTGTGCGTTCAGCTTAGGCAGACCGAGCCATATTTCGAGAAATGACTGGATGATTATCGAATTGGATATCGAACAGAATCATTCTCTGCCTGACGCAGCTGACCAGAGCAGTCGGTTCTATACTACGCAATTCTCGAAACTCACCCTGATTCTAGATTCGGTTTTGGCTGATTTATAGTGAGTCGTCATTCGATAGACTTCGTGTAATTCTTTCCTGAAAAGGTAACTGACGAGAAGCAATTCAAAGCTCTATACGATCTGTATCTACCCTCAGCCAGGACTTTAAGCTGGCAATCACCACAGCCCAACCCATTCTACAAAGACTCGATGAATGGCACAACAGCCTTCCCTCAATTCTCGAGATCCGCAGAGGCAACGATGGGAACAACACAGATCTTCCAAACGGATCGGCTTCGCTCCATATTGCCTACCATGCCGTCAAAATACTAGTTTTTCGTGCATTGTTACGACCATTTAATCAACCAAATAACCCGGATTCTACGACCACACAAGACCATCAGAGCCACGCGGACGACTGGCTTGCCGCGAAAATGCGGATTCGCAATGGCGCCCTTGCCGAAGTGACTTCAGTGCTTAGCTTGATATCATCCTTCAGACAGGAACACTATCAAGCCTTCTGGGCTCCTTGTACGTCAAGCCCAATATAATCCTCTGCTTTCTCTGTTTTGTATGCTTACATATATCTAGGGTCCAAAACAAGCTTTGCGCTAGTTACAAATCTTCTGTTCTTGTTATCAGCTACATCTAATCGCGACACTAGAACAGCGGCAGAATTGTCCTCGTCGTCATCGCCATCGCCATCACTATCATCGCCATCACCCGGCATGGCAGGCCGTGACGAGTATGCCGAATGCCGGCAAGCTCTTGAACGCGCGCGCACCATATTCCGATTGCATGCGAAGGCGCTTGATATGATGCGACTCGCGCTCCTGCGCATTGATGCTATTTTCTGGATTGGGTGGGAGCGAGTCTTGGGGTTTAAATGATGTGATATTATTCATCTTATGCATATATATTCACATATTACTTGGTAATTTACTAGGTACCTCAAAAGACAAGTTCTCATCTATATATCCCTCCGACCATGTTGCAAATCCACCTCGGCCAGATTAACAAACTCGGTCTTCTTGAAGAACTTCCAAAACACAAACAGCAACACAAACAGCACAACAATGATATACGAAAACACAAACGCGACTGGCTGCCAGGGCGTCAAGAACGTCGCATAGCCCTGGATAAGGAGCAGGAAAATATTGATGACAGTGATGAAGTACGCGCCCCAGGGGTAAAGAAATGCGCGGAACGGCAGTTCTTCAGGGGTATGGCCCTGGAGTCTCCACGCACGACGGAAACGCAAATGCGTAATGCCGATGCAGCCCCATGCGATGAACGCGGCTGCGCCTGCAATGTCGAGGATGTACGTGAATGCCGTACCGGCGCCGCTAGCCACATTGATGAGTGCAATGAGACCCATCAAATTCGACAAAATGGCAGCGTAGATAGGCACGTTTTTGGACGTGGTTCTTTTCAGGAAGGCGGGGGCACGGCCAAGGTCGGCCAGAGAGTAGAGCACGCGCGACGAGATGTAGATGGCCGAGTTGATGGCGGAGAAGGAGGCGGTTAGGAGGAAGACGTTGATCAGGTCGGAGGCATGCTTCCAGCCGGCGTTTTGCAGCGCAATGGTCCAGGGTGATAGGCCTGATTTTGTGCCAGCGGTAAGGAAATCGGGGTCATTGGAGGGCACGATGATGCCGGCGAAGAAAATCATGCCTAGGAAGATTAATACGATGCGGAAGATGGTTTGTTGGATGGCCTTTTCTCTCTCGTTAGCATTCAATTTCCCTTGATTTATGTTGGACAGTTGCATATATACCTTTGGCACATCGCGTTTCGGGTTTTGACTCTCCCCAGCGGTGATTGCAATCATTTCCGTGCCGGAGTAGTACACTGCTGCCAGAACAAAAGCCTGGCCAAACCCGTTTATGCCATTCGCAAAAGGACCGGGATCCTTCCAGAAACGAAAGCCAATGTAGTCTCCGCCGATGGCACCTGTATTGACGAGGATGGCAAGCAGATAGCCCACAAGCACGCAGATGACCTTCCACGTGGCGAGCCAGAATTCAAGCTCTCCATATACCACAACGCCTAGGAAGGAAATGCCTTGGTAAATGGCCCAGAAAATCAACATCCAGCCGTAGGACGGGACCTTGTCGGTCCACTGACTCAACACGACGGAGATCATGTTATATTCGGACATGAGATTGGCAACCCACTACCAAGAAAGAAATTTTCAGTTTGGGATTTCTAATGGGGTACGGGAATGGCAACGACTTACCATGTACCAGTAATTCCATCCGAGTGCTACAGAGACAGCAGGGTCGATGAAGCGTCCGGCCATTTCAGTAAAGGCGCCGGACGTAGGGTAGAGCGTCGACATTTCGCCCAGGCTTTGCATGACGAAGAACACGTCGATTCCAATCACAATAAAGCAGATTAGGGCTCCGATCTGGTTTGTGAGTTAGCAGCTGACCCACGACCACTATGCTTGCGAGAGGGACACCGTACCGGTCCTGAGTATGATAGGGCAGTTCCAGTGCCGTACCAGATACTTGCTCTATATACATATGTCAGCAAGCCGGTATCTAGGTACTTCTTCGCCATGCAAGAAGTCAAGCAGCAGGATCTTACCCAACAACACCGCCCAACCCAATCATCTGCAGATGACGCTGCTTCAGCGATCTCTGCAGGCCATTTTCAACAACCACGCCGTCGACAAGCTCCCCCGAGCTATTGTCCATAGCAACATCGTCATTGGAAACCGTCATCTCACTCTTGGAGATAGCCTCTTTGCTGTAGCTGGCCATGGCTGACAGACGGGACGGGATGTAGCTATGTACCCGTTATGTATGTACCTGCAACGAATACTTTCACAGCAACAATAAGACATGTTCGTGTTCGCCATGACCGACTCTTATATAGCATTTGCGTGTGGGCGTGGAGGCTGCCAGATAAGGCCGAGTGGATGTACCCCGTAGCTTGGCAAGATAGGAGGTTTTCGATGCCTCCAATCACACACGATGCCGGCTGCAGGGACCCGCCGGCGCCACACCATCGGGCCGATTATCTCAACTAGTAAATATTTTTATTCAGTCTTGATATATTTGCTTTAATGGATGCTCGTGTTTTTATCGCACAAGGTGTTAGATGATATACATATTCAGGTACTACATGCAAAACTTGGCCTGGGAAGATGTCTATAGCATCGCCTTCTGAGTCAACCCCTTCAGAGTTTTCGCAGCCAAATCCACCGCATCCACCGCAAGCCCCATCCCAGCCTGAAATCCAGTCCCTCCAGCTCCATAGTTATGCACAACCAGTCTGTCAGGCGAAATCCTCTCCTGCTCAACCCTTGCACCCCCTTCTCGCGATGGTCTGAGTCCAACCGCCGCTCTGATAATCTCCATCTGCCCATCCAGCATCAAACTAGGCAATAGCTCGCCCGTCCTTTTCACTATCGACTCCGACTCTTCTGGAACCACGTGCGGACTCCAATTGCCCTTTTGCATAAACCCGCCCAGAATCACAGTGCCATCCGACATGGGTCGGGGTATAATATAAGTTTCGTATTTGGCGCCGTGACGCATTATGTTTTTTCTGACGGAGGGGGCTTTGACAAGTAAGATCTGTCCTCTGGTTGGGTAGCATTTGCTGTCCGAGACGCCGGATAGGGTAATGGCCGAGTTCCCGATGCAGTTGAAAACTAGCTTGGTTTTTGAGGATATGAATGCGTCTTGTAGATGAGAGACTCGCCGGCGGAGGAATGGGATGGACCCGTACTTGGGCTGTGATAGCAGCGTCTTGAGATGCTGGCAGTGAGCAGGCGCGTTGATTGTGACGGTCGTGAATTTGATGCCGAATGCTACTCCGGAGGGGAGGTCTTTTTTTGGGAGTATAGTAAGCTGTGTGTTAATTGAATTAGCATCCGTCACTTGTAATTTTTCTTTTCCGGTGCGCTGGGAAATAATGCTCACATCCCGCAAATACTCCGTCATGCTGCGAATCTTGTCTGAAGCTGGCATCTCATCCCAGTACTCCGTCGATTCTGTCTTTGCAAGATATTTCGCTTCCTCGGCCTGCGTGTCGATGAGTCTCATCATGAGGGAATAGCCGGTGCGATCCCAGCGAAGCGCATTTGCGTCCCCGCCAGAAATTCCAGAGAAATTTGCGCCGGCCCTTTGTTTTTTTTGGGTCGTTCATGTTAGCGAGATAAAATTCCGAAGTGCAACTTCGTTTGGGTAGCTTGTTCTTACCATGGCGATGTATAATCGATTGTGGCTTCATCTCCAGGAAGGTGCTCGGCCACCACTGTTATGTATTTCCCATATCCACGCTTAGATAATTCGAGGGCGACATCAAGGCCAACGATGCCAGCACTATGTTATTTGGTTTTTTGATCTGGTAAGGGAATGCATTTTATAAGATGGGACTGCGTCGTTGCTCACCCTAAGATCACAATACTGTCTCTCGCCATTTGGATTTTTCTGTCGACACACTGTGCTTGAATTGAAGGCTAATTGCTTCCAAGTTTATCCCTTTTATAATTAACATTGCATATCGCGACTGGCCGAGAAATCCGTTTTCATGAGCTCGCTCGCACCATGCAATGCGCTCTGGCCGGCTTGAGCTCTGATTGGCGGCATCCGGAAGATAACCGTTGACGATAGCATGCCTCAGGCATCAGTACTGTATCTCTCGCTTAGCTCAGCTGCCTAAATTTGCTGCGTTCGCTCTTCTAGCCAGCATGTGTTAAGTCTCGTTGATTATGTCTCTTTTAACATATTTCTTTTTTATTGCATCTCTATACGTGAAAACCTAGCTCTAATTCGACCTTCAGATGGTGCAGACGTAATAAACACACTCGACAGACGCACTTGTCAAATTTCCAATACAGATACAATTTCATGTTCCTTTTGCATGCACTCTCGATAGCAAACTGGCCGTGTCTCTGATGTATTCATGGCTCTTGCTGAGGCCTCGTGTAGGATGATTGTAGTGTGCAAAGGCATGAGGAACTCCAGCATATCTTTTCATGGTGACCTGGTTCCCCGCTGCCTTGAGCATATCGCCATAATATTCTCCTTCATCGCGTTCGACATCGAATTCCGCTGTCACGATATGGGCCGGTGCTAAGTCCTTCAGACAAGGTGACAGAACCGGCGTCATGCGCCAGTCAGCCAGAATCTTAGAGCGGATTTCTGGGTCTGTTCCAATGTAGTACTTTAGAAACCACGACTCTCGACTAAGAGGAGACCATGGCAGATCAGAGCAAAATATAGCACTCGGATATGGACATGTATCTAGTGTCAATGGCCGAGTCTCATTCACAGAGGCCGGTACATAGCGCATGTCTGTTGCCGGCACTACCATCAATTGCAGTTTCAGGTCGATCTTGGGACTGCTATCGCGCGCAAAATGGGCCAAGACAGCGGTAATCAGGCCCCCCGAGGAAAGACCGCCAATTGATACTGAAGTGGGATCGATATTGAGCGTTTGCGCCTCGGCAATTGCCCATTTAACTGCTGCCCAGCAGTCATAAATGGCCACTGGAAAGGGGAACTCGGGGGCAAGACGGTAGTCCACATCGATCACGACGATGGATGATTGGTTGCATATGCTGCGGCACCATGCGGCTTCTGAGTTGAGTCCCCCAATTACCCATCCTCCGCCGTGGAAATTCAGATGCACGGGGAATGGACCTGGACCGGCAGGCGTGTATACTCTACAGGTTATGCTGCCTTCTGGTTCAAGAACGGGGACTTGATGATCTTCCACATGATGTACCTCAGGTCCTGAAAAGATGTAGTTAATATCATGCAAAAAGATATGTATAGGGCGGATCGTGCGCTGCATACCACTCCAAGTTGGGTAGGTGAAGCTATATTTTGCAGGATGTTGACGAAATTCTTCAACCGATATCAAGTGAGCGCCCACAACGGCTTGGCTGTGGTTTGTCCACATGTCCTCCCATTCCGGATCCAGATTCTGAAGATACTTTTCTGGTATCCTATTGCTCTGTTCTTGAGTCATCTTCCCAGTAACATCGCCATTTGTGACTTCTGTATTTACCACGACGGTGGACATGTTGAGATGGGAGAGTTTTGCCTTAGGAAGCAAACAATAAATTAAGATGTGTTGTCAGAATGTCAAAATCAATTCTTCAAGTCTTTTTGTATAATTACAATTATATAAGAGAATAATGACCGTCCTAAGCTATTCGCTCGATAATCCAGAACCATGTGTAGCACGGCTTCTGATTGGCGGCATTGCTCTCGATGGGGTATGTCCGATGGATGCCGCCATTCAACACTGTAGCTTTCTTTCTTATCTACGAACAGAATCCATTTCTCTATGGAGAATCCCGAGGTTACTGATTGTAGAATTGTAGTTAACAAATTTTCATTATATACAAGTGCACGGTATCTATATATATTTGTATCTGCCTTAAAGTGGCTGAAAATCGCCACTTGCCCACTTGCGCGTATTCTAGCCCTAACTCGCCATGTCGCGCCCAAGCGAATGTCGTGCAGATTCTCTCGTTATATATCTTCTCTCTTCCTACTTCCATTATAAACTTACCAGTGGTAGTATCGAATCAATGCTAACACTGACAAGCCCAGACAAGAAGAGTCCCGACTGAGGCCATTTCCGCTAGGATTTCCACAAACTTTGTTCAACCAGTCAGAGTCATATGTATTATATATACCCCCGGAACTTTGCTGCTTATAGAGGCTTAACTTACCATGCCAATGGGGTTATCAGTCCCAGTGCCAGACTGTAACTGCAAAAAGGGCACCCACCAAAAAGCAAACGCAGAAAAATCATGGCGCGTCTGGGGACCTTTTACTGATCAGTCTTCCCAAAGTATGTCATAAACAGTAAGTACCACGGTTGCTCGTGGCCATCATCTAGCCGACTAGTGAGACCAAACAGGGTCCTCGACGCCACGTAAAGATTTGTACAGGCACAGCTTAGGCACGTGAAAACGAGAAACGCATTGAAAACATCTGCGAGGTGCGGTATGGTAGCCCTCTAGGCTATAGCAACAAAGACAGATGACGTGTTTGAGCGTAATGTGCCTGGCGACGAGTAACAATCGTTTTGTTTGTGCTGGTGGACTTTAGCCATCTAAGACGAGGGAGTTGGCAGTCGTTCCATTGGATGTTCAAGGTTGCGAGAACTCCCATGAGGGTCTATCCTATCGTAGCATGACTGAAACCCAGATGGCGGAAAATTTGACCGTGTTGCCAATAAGTGTATCTTTGGGTTGGCGTGAGGAATCAGATGGTATTTGCTTATCGGGTTTTGTTCTTCGAGGCCACTGCACTTCCAAGGCTGATGCTGCTACTATTTCTATCCCAACATAGGCAAATGTTGCAATCGATATGGACATTCCATAGGTGTGTCAGTGTATATTCCTGAGTAGAATCGTTCTGACAGTGAGACAGAAGATACTTACAAGAAGGCTGTAGCCCAGTTCGGGGCAGCTTCGTGGTCAAAAACCATCACCAAAGACCAATCTGTTTAATGAAGTTAGCTAATTCAAGCTTCAAGGTGATTAGTATTGATTTGATCATACTCTCAGCATTCGGGGTCTGCTGAGTATCGGGATCTAGTAGAGCCATGATTCCATTAGTTTATCTCTAACTTTAGTGCATCAAGTAAACATAGGATAGTGTAGGGGAGATCTCACAGATCAGGTCGTAGGAGGACAATTCACCTATGCACCTAATCACAATCATAAACACGAAGATGATTACAAGAAAAAGGATCTTAAAACCCCCGGTGAAGAGTTCTACATGTCGATATATAGGCGTCAGTATCGTGTACGTCAGATAGGTGTGAGCACACAACATACCCCAATGCCCAAAGCATTTATGACAATAAGAGACAATGGTATAGCGAAGTAAATGACTAGCCCCAGGAAACTTTTGCTATCATTGATGGCGGGCCAGAAGACAAACTCGGTTGCAGAGGTAGCCACCAGGGCAGAAAATGATATTGAATAGGTGAGCCTAGTAGGCGGTTAATAAATTTGTTTTACTTTTATATTCTCCTGCAAGTTCAATAAGAAATAACTTACCAATATGTGACGCCCACGGCAATTCCTAATTCCGTATCAACAAATTCGCTGACATATATAGACAAGGCGCCGGGTATAGGCCATATGCAAAGTATCTCGGTTATACATTGCATTACAGCCCATACCATGATGCTGACTAGAAGAAAGGATAAAAGGACGGCCAAGGGGCCTCCAAGATCGAGGATCTGGCCGCAACGCCAGTAGAGCCCGCTTCCAAGTATACCATTTATTGTGATCATCTAAAGTATGCCGAATTGGTCAGCTTTATTTTTACCTCCTGTGCAGCCATGGTAGTGGCCATTAGCCATGGCAGCTAAGACACGAAATGTTCAGTGAAATAATCGACCGACTTACAAACAGATGCATTTCTCGCAGGCGTCTTCTCGTTATTCCGTCTCCACTTGGTATAACTGACACAATGGAGTCGCTTGAAAATTTACAACCCGTGCTTATCTTTCAGATAGGAATAATGGTATTGTTTAACGCTGGATTGGGTTAGCACCGATTCCAGCCCACATGGCCCATGGCGGAACGGGCCTTAGGTACCCACTAACGCTCGTGCATAGCCCCTTCCATAGCGGCACAATCTGTCTAATCTAGAAAGACGTGGATCGAGATTTTCTTTGACGGGAATTTCCTCCCCGTTTTGCTGAGAAAGGGGGCTTAAGCCCTCGACGTCGCCATGTAGGTGTCATTTCTCTGACATGACTGTTGGTTCTTAAGTTCGCCAGCAAAAAAGGGGCTTCTTGGTATTAATATCGGTATCTAGAATTGAACAGAAGGAAACAACCATTATGATTGTCGTGATAGCTATTACATAAAGTATTGTTGGGGCCCTGAGGATGTTCCGGTAGTAAAGATGAAGCGGCGATGAGAGCTGGAGGCTATTAATTCGTTGGAAGGTGTGTCACTGGTTAAACAATTATACTAGACCAGCTTCAAGTAGAATTACCACGGATTGAATAACCGAGAAAAGAGCACCGCCTCGATTGATCTCCTAGCAATTTTCTCATTCAGGGTACATTTCAAGCGTCACAGAGTCATTATGAATATGAATACCGGCTTTCTTTGGCCCCCATACCCTATATGTTTCATGTATCAAGAGCCGCTTACAAGCAACTCCTCCGTTATTGGACACTTCTAATCATGTTGATAGGAATGTCCTGGATCATTAGGTCCATTTCCATAGCCAAAAACTCTCTTGAATTCATCCGAGACAGGCTTCGGAACGTGCCCTTCAGGCATTCTCCAAGCCCGAAATTTATCATTCGGAACTCTTCTTCCCTCCTGCCACTTCAGCAATGCATCAAAATCCCCACACTTCCTATTGATACTAAAATCTGGATACGGATGAATCTGACCTTCCACCCACTCCTTGGTCACAATATCTGTGCTCGCCTCACACATCAAGTGTTGCAGGAGAATATACAGGCAATGGGAGGTATGTGCCTGGTGCAACTCTGGCGTTTTCCCGTCGGGGTATCTGTCCCCGAAGTAGTAGTCAAAATAGATTTCCTTGCGCAGGGAGTTCAGACAGTGGATTTTGTGTAAACTGTCTAATTCCGCCGCATAAGCATTGGGGCCGAGATTGAATGTGTCAGGAAACTTGGCCACTGTCTTCGGATCTTTGCCCATGCGGACGATATCCGAGGAGGAAACCCAGATGGCATTAAGGTTGGAGAGGTTGTTCCAGGCGGCGTCCACAGCAGGTGACGGCGGTTGACGGAAGATTGAATGGTCGGTATCTTCATCTTCGCCGACTATTTTCTTGGTGGTGAATGTCATGTCGACGTCGTCAAGGATTGGGGCTAACACATTGTTTTAATATAGGCATCCCCGTAGTTAGTATATCACTCTATGGGTAACTAACAATAAGTGACAGTCTGTCTGAGACTTCGACTTTTTGTGTGCAGTTGCACATTCCATGAGATAACTTGCCATAGTAGAGTCATACATGAGAAAGCGAACAGGGCCAAATTGAGGACGTAGAAGCATTTTCCAGGGCGACCTCGGGCACGATGATGTTGAAACCAAACTTCATCCACAGAGACATCGTCTGATTGCTTCTGGGGCGAGAGTAAACGGTCCCGCGAGTCCATAATGGCAACTGAACATAAATCGCTTTCGTCTCTCCAGAAAATTTCACACAGACCAGGTGATATTGTCGCTAACGGTGTAAGTAAGAAATTCTTTCATGGCGTAAGCTCAGACCTTTAGGATGGCACATATTCTACAAAAATTCACGTAATACTTCCAGCACCACTCTTATCAGCGGCTGAAGTATTCAGCCTCGACTCGGAACCTACCAACATTCTTCTATGGTCCTCAAACTGGGCATAAGTCAAATAATGTGCAGTAGACTGTTACAGCAAGTGGTTGCATGAAACGAGTGCTAAGCTGGTATGATTTAGTACTACATGTAAAACGACTATTGAATCTATCCAATTGACTCTATTTACCCTCCGACAATTGGTTGGTATCAGTACGTTATTCCCGACCTACTTCGCATCCCGGTTATACATGAATTAATACTATGCGTGTCATTTTCACCGTCCAGAACTAAAGACATGCTGAGCACACAAATGCTCACCTTTCCGATGTCACCTTACTGTATCTACTCCGTACAAAATAGCAAGTAAGGGGTATACACAGGAAGAAAAACAACCTTACTGATTCGAGGGATCGGCTCTAGGACTACAATTCCAAGATACTGCATAAAAGTGACAAGTGAGGGGGATAAGATTCACTTAACTATGTAGAAGGCTATGTACTACGTAAGCGAACCAAAAGTAACTGGCTTTGAAATGGCTACGCCTTATGCAAATCACTTTTAATACCCCTGTGTTTGATGTGAATTTGGCACGAATATGCCTTTCTGCATGGAAACCTAAGTATAGTAAGCGCCCTCGAGATTTCTATATGTATTAGGTATACCGTATCGTTATCTTGGCATAATTTGGAAGTATAACTGACTGGACAAGACCCCTACTCCGTACGTCGAACACAGCTAATTGTGCGTACACAGTACATGTAATTGTAAGTGGAATATTACGAGCTAAGTAAGAAGTGCTAACTATTACCGGTGGTTACTGATGCGACCCGGCGCCGGGGAGGAGGGCAAACCACCCCCTTGCCTTTGCGTGAAACCCTCAGAGGAGACACGACACGACCCGGGTATGCATCCTATGATGGATCGTGAAGAAGTAAGCATCGGACGGATTGCAAATAGTAAATATTTTCCATTATCAAATGCTTGGTATCTTGCAATAGCTGTACGTGAAAGTACCATCGAAATGGATGCTTTCACCAGCAACCTCTGCACCACAACTCTTGTAAAGTGAAAGGCCTTTTGGTGTTGACAAAAAATATATAGGCACATGGTCATTTATGGCTTGTTTAATCCCCCATTCCAGTAATTTTCTGCCGATTCCTTGTCGTTGGTAAGAAGGATGTGTTACCAGTGTTCTGAGATCTGAAGAGTAGATCATAATGGCTTATTAGAGAATTGTCTTTAAGGTATAATAAAGTCATTTAAATATTTAAGATACTCACACCAGTGATTGCCACGAGTCTTCCAAACTCTTTTCTTTGTTTTCTGAACCTCTTCATGTAGCTCTTCACAGATATCTGCCCGAGCAGTTGGCGGTAGAGGCAAAGGAGCTGACTTGGAGTATATATTGAAACGGTCTTGATCATGACTATTCTTAAGATGACTAACTGGAGCCACCCATATCGCTGTAGCAACTATCCGGTCTTGCATATCTGTATCCACAGCTTTCCATATAATACCAAGAGGATTAGACTCAAGAAATCTTTCGAATGTTTTGGCCATCCAATCAGCTGTAGATGGAGTAAAACAGCCTGTTTCTGGATCTGGAGGATAGCACATATCCTGATCGAGATTCCCGGAGAGGGCAGACGAGCAAAGCTCAACAATTGAGCTCACATCGTTCAAGCCCGCAGGCCGGATTTCAATCGGCATTTCCGGAATGGTAGAAGGGGTGGTTGTGTCAGTGGAATGTAAGTTTTTCAAACAATGACGAAGCCAAGCGATTATATAGGATTGAATGAAATAATATCAAAGCATCTTCCTATGTTATCAATCACGTGTGTTTGATTGCATGTATCTGGAGTCAGCCTTTAATCCACCACCTGCTCGGAATTTCACCTAATTGGATAAATAAATGCCTCAGGATACGTGGATGCCTGGGGAAGCATAGATATGGCTCCTTGAACATTTTCTTTGTTTAGATGTGCAGATTATATAGTTTTTTTAATACTAGTCAATACGGTGTTGCGAATCCGTCATACCTATCGTGTACCCCTGATCTGTTATGTACCCGTTTCCACTAGTTACATACGACATCGCAATGTATTTCTCGGCTTTTACAATACATATGTAACCATAATATGCACCTAGTAGACGATCTTGCGACCTCTTACCCATTCTAGAACACCGTCGAAATTGCGGCAAGTGTGGTTCATGTCAGACTGAACATAGATTCTTCCTTTTCCATCATGCCAGCGCGTCGAAACTGGTGTGAGGTCGCCATAGCACATGAGATATTGACGGATCTGGTCAATGCAGTGGTCTGTTTGCGTTTTCAGTAATGCAGACACCACCACAGGCGAAAGGGAACATGGTGGCAGTCTTACAGTTATGGTTCTGGCTTGGACGATGAGACATGTGCTCAGAGTAATATTCCGGGTCAAGATGCATTCGAAGGGTGTTCTGAGGTAAATAAATGTTATGAACAGACAAAACACTAAAGCAAGGTCGTGACGAAGGATCCAACTTACCAAACAGTGCAAAGTGTGCAGAATATCAAGACTAATAGTATTCAGGATATGGTCAGAATATTGAGGAGAGGCTGTATAGCAAAGGCAACTTACCCCCCAACATACCACCTTTCACCTTCAATTACATCAAAATAACCGTCAAAGTTGTCGCTCCAAGCTTGTTTGGCTTCTGATTCTGATAAATAGAAGTAGCGATCTGAAAGAAGTCAGACAACTGAAAAAAGTTCCAATGTAGCATTGGGTCTATACCGTTGATCATATCATGCCAATTTTTATCAATCTCGGGGCTTGGGTTTCCCACGTATTGAAGATGTCCTGGCTCCGTGATCAGATACGAGCTGCCGTTAGCATGAAAATGTAGATCGCCAGTGAAACGTTGCTTTCTCATTGATATAACTGAAGTCGCAGTACCTGATTCCATCTTAGTTCGGCTTTTCTTCTTCTAAAGTTCGATGTGGAGGGCTTTACTCAATTCTGTCGGGAAACCGGTTTCATAAGAAGCATGAGGTCCAGAATATTGCTGAAGTCGCCAGGTCACATAAGCTGAGTATAATAGGAGCATGATTATTAGAATTCGCCCTCCGTTGCCGTGTGAATACACTTTCTGAAAACCTATCCATGTCGAGTGTTCTGTATGATGTGATTCACCCTCTTTACCCTGCTCCTCATCTTGAGGCACAGCATTGTAGTGAGTTGAGGAAGTCATCAGTTTTCTTCGTGAAGTAACGTAGTGTTTGCTTTATTCAAGTTCAAAGCAAAGTTTTCACCTCGTTAAGTGGCGACTTTGCAACCTTTGGTACTCGATTTGTCACCGTTTCACAGATTACCTGAAGTCCTACTTTGAAGTTAGCCCCCCCCTTCCTTCTCTCTCTTAAATTCCAAAGTTGAAGCGTAACCATAACGGCATTTCAAGGTATCAGAGCTAGTACTGTAAGATAAGGTAAGAATGATGCCGGCAGCTAAAAAATTTGGTTTACACAAGTACTGCAGCTAACATTGCATTGTAACATCATCTGCATACTCTTTTGAACGTCCATAGGCACGATTACCTTGCAGATCAGAAAGAGGGACAGCGACTGCTTTTTTTATGCGTGCTTTGGCACTAAAACTTGGTTTTTGAATTTCCCTCAGCCTCCATAATTGCCACTAGAGAATTAACATACATCTTGACCTAAGTAAATTGAGCAAGCACTGTAAGCACCAGCTTCTCCTGAGTATCAATTCATGGTCTTATCTACCGTTTCAAGTGTTAGGTAGAAACAATAAAATCGACTGGAGCATGAAAGTGCACTGAGAGGCTGGAGTTGTGAGTTCAGGGAATTTGTCCGAGTTCGATACCGGCCTTGCATGAATATTCTTCTAAGGACTGAAACACGGAAATCTACTGTGTGATCATGATAGCATGAATACATTCTTTTGATTTGTCATTCCGCTGAGCTAGAATTCGACAAAGGACGCATAAGCTGGTCTCAGTAGTGAATGGAATGGATTGTGCATATAGATTATCATTTTCTTGGCTCGCATAATGGACTGCAGTTGATTGAGCTCCAAGATAAGTTTCAAAACGATGCAACAAATATAACAAGAATTTTAAAATCCTCGTTTTATTTATGTACTAACCAAATGCATACGAGGTCATACTGCACCACACCTCCTTTTGCATATACGAGCACACAATCCTCTGTAATCAGCTTGAGTATCGGCAGAGTCCGATAGGGGTGTCGACGTCGGTAGATGAAAAAGTGAAGGCATTTGAGATTCCTACAGTATATATAATGGCAAGCTAATCATAGCTCAGTGTAACATCAATCATTCCCGAAACAGTAAACGTTCACTTCGAAACTTATATAAACCAAGCAAAGCCCTTCCTTCAATACCAAGATTGATCAAAGCAAATCTTATCACTCTTTTCTTTCATTTACTATTACTAAGACTGAATCTTTGAACGAAAATCCAAGATGCGTGCCTTTATCATTAGTCTGTGTATCTTCGGTGTAGCCGCACTGGCATACCCCCTCGACATACACGCCGGGAAACGCACTTCTGAAGACACTGCCATTGATTATGGCAAGCGTGATTCCGAAGGCACAGCTATTGACTGGGACAAGCGTGCTTTCGAAGGCACCGCCATTGACTATGACAAGCGTGATTCCGAAGGCAC